TGGGTGGGTGGAGGCTGGGCCTGGTGGTCCAGGGTGGAGGCTGGGCCTGGTGGTGCAGGGTGGAGGCTGGGTGGGTGGAGGCTGGGCCTGGTGGTGCAGGGTGGAGGCTGGGTGGGTGGAGGCTGGACAGCCCGGCCTCTCTGTGGGTGGGGTGGAGGCTGGGCCTGGCCTCTCTGTGAGCATTGCTAACCTAGGCCCTGGTGTTTAGGCTGCAAATGTGGGCAGAGCTTGGACAGAGTCTGGTTTCTTGCAATTTTGTCTAGAAATCCAGCAGGAACCCCAGATAGCGTGTCACTACGCCAGCTCTCCACTACATGTCCTGTGTTGCCATCTCATGTCAACACATCAGAGTAAGAGAGAAGTAAGGTCTGTGTGTGAAGTGCATGCTGAGCTGTAAGCAAGGGCCTGGGGGTCCTGGGCTGCTGGGCTGCAGGGCTGTGTGCAGGCCTGGGGCTGCACTGGTGCTGCCTCCCAGCGATTTCTGTAAAACTCCCCCTTCAGCAGCCGAGTCTGGGGACAAAGCAGGAAAAGGAGCTGCTGGTCACAGCAGCACTGACAGCAACTCCTTGGCTCCTTGGCTTGCTTTCCTACATCACTTGCAGGAAGTGCCTGCGTCGGCTCCTGAGGGTGCTGTATAGAGGTGCGCGCTTGCAGTCCCAGAACTGAAGAGGCAGGGCTCCCGGTGGACTGGCCTGGCCCCCATGTGTTCACCTCTTCATCCAGTCATTTATCCACCTGACAAAGGGAGAAGGTGTGGCCGGGCACGTGGGGTCTGACCAGAAGAAACCCAGCCAAGACAACACACCAACCCCTGTAAGCGCACCGAGGTCGGACCACAAGACACTGTCGCTTGAAGTGAATATGTGACAGTAAACTTATTCTATTTTTCTCTTTAAAACTTGCTAACCATACTTATGCACTTTTTGCGGTTAAAGTTTTCTAAAGAACCTTTGAAAGAGTCAAAATAACAGATCTGTCTATTCCATAATCCCAAGAAAATGATTTCGAACGGTGTAAAGGGAAAACTCTCACTTGGAACAGACGGGAGGGGAGGAGGGGCTGTTGCTGCCCCTAGTGCTGACCAAGCTAGTGCAGCCCTGTGTGTGGCCAGTGCATCCTGGACGCCGCGCTGGACCTGGGACGCAGCGCCCTGCCACTGACCTCCCTGCGGCAGGTCTACAGCCAGCACCGGCACCCCTTAAACACGTGCTGCAGACAGACTGACGGACCAGCTTGTGCGTCTGGGCTTTCTAACTGTAGCATAGGGAAAACTGCTTAAATCTGAGCAAAAGTCAAAAACTAGGCTAAGTCGAGGGTAAGACAAAACCTAAAAGGGTCCGATATGGGGAGGGCGGGACCGGAGATGGGGTCTGTGCAATGCCCAGGGCTCACAGGAGGCCCGGGCTCCCCGGAGGCTCCACACAGGAGGCTGCACACAGGAGGCCCGGGCTCCCCGGAGGCTCCACACAGGAGGCCCCACACAGGAGGCCCGGGCTCCCCGGAGGCTCCACTTGTCCTGGTCAAGCAGAGAGCAGAATATCCATGGGGGTATCTGAATGTCCCCGGCCC